CTATTGTATCGTAAGAAATTATTTTTTTATTTTGTACAAACAAAATAAATATATTGAAAAATATAAAAACAACAAAAATTTATACTTCAGAAGTTAATTTAGTATCAAAAACGTAAAATATTTGAGTAGCCCAAGACATAGCCAAAGATTGCAGCGCCACAGCACTGGCGAAAATTTAAATTTGCCAACTGGAATTCTTTTGGATAATTGACGTTTCGGATAAACGACACTCTACTGTACTCTCTTACCAAAGAAAAAGTTCAGCCATATAACAAGTTTTGGATATACGGGAGGCTCACTAATTTTGCTTTAATGATAACATCTACTTTCAAAAGAAGGGGGTTCCAATGGACTCCTATATGCTACCCTGGCAGATTACCATGTCGAAAGTAGAGTTTAAAGTATTCACTTCTCCACTCATTAACTGCTACCCGCTTCTATATTTGTGTTATATAGACAATATTCTTGTTGAATGGGAGAGTATGAATCAGGAGCTGTTCAACTTTTTGCAACATCTATCTGCTGTGTACTTTCATTTCCTTCTCCTTAGAAGAGGAGATAAGTGAGAAAATAGTGTTCTTAGATCCCCACATACACAGATCCTCTGGGGCCTTTTCTTTCTGTGTACTGCAAGTTTAATGCAGTTTCCTATTTCATCCCTGCAACATCTTTTCAACCATTATGTTACATGGATTTGGCCATTTCCACTACTATTAGAAGAGGTTTTTTACTTCTATCAATGCATGAGCTCATTGAACTTGAGTTGGGTAATGTATATGTGGCTTTTCCATGCAGCATATTCATCATAGAAATTTCACTATGTTCTCACTAGGGTTAAAAATTTGCTATTTCTATACTTCCTTATATTCTTAAAAACATCAATGTGGTCACTAATTCTACAACTTGTTCCCTCTCTATATGCATTTGTCATATCTTCAAGAAACATCGAAACAAGAAACAAGAAACTCTTCTTTCCTTTCCCCACACAGCCAACTTTACACAGGTTTATCTGCAGCGATAAGAACAGGTTCGCTTTTCTTGAAAAATCTAGGGTTTATGCTGTACTCCTTATGCACCCAACTGGAGAAAATATATGGTACATTGGTGACATGATCAGAATGCTGGTGAGTTGTTTAGCAGAGCAGCAGAGGATATCACAAAATGTGTCAGGCATTAAGTGAGATTCTAAAGGGGCCATTAAGTAATTAGAGTAATTAGTTAAATCAAGTATGCAGTTGATTGCAAAGTGGAAAAACTCCATCTCCTTTTCTCATTCTCTCATGATACTCTGATAGGTAAAACTAATCAAATATCAGTCTAAGTCAACAGTCACTAGGATGTTTGGATTTACGTTACAATCTTAGTCAAAACAGTTGATTATTAATAATGGGAAACTGTCAAACAGATGGAATTATGAGGTAAGCGAAGTCATCAAAATGGCTAGAAAATAGCAGTAATTATGCCGAATCATCCAGTTCTTGACAGCCCGTATCTATCAAACCAGGACATGACTCAAACTTAGAACACGTTAAATCAGTCACCTGAGTCAATTCTCATGTGCAACATGTATAAAAAGGGGTTGCACTTGATCATCGGGGCAGACATCCTAGGAGACTAGACGAACATCTACCTACCAGCTCCCCGACAGCCTATAAACTGCTGATTGTCTCCCCAATGGTGCAATAGAACGATCAGCTAGATCCTGATTGTTCCATTGTACTTTTTGTTTTCATTTTTGTTTGTGTTTTATTTCAAATTCTGTTATTACTTGTACTCACGAGCCTCAAATATTTTATGAAGTTTAAATGCTTGAAATTTTAAAATTTTGACAATGTTATAGGCCTACTTGAGAGTGTTATAGTGACATTTTATTCTACATTTTGTTGGCCTGATTATGATGATTTTATATTGTTGAAAGTATTTACATGGTAAAAAAGACTAACGCTGTCTATCTGACAGTGTATATGTTACAGCCAGATTGTTAATTTTGCCACTTTACAAGGCATCTAGTCATTTGATTAAATGGTGCCATTTTATAATAAAGCTAACTAATGTTCAGTCCGATTGTTGGTACATTGTGTTTTACAATGTGGCTGGCTATGTTTAGCCATATTGTAAAGTGACAGAAATCTCAGCTTTACTAAAATGTGAATTAGGCACTAGGATTAGAGACAAAATTGTTAGGAAGTACAGTACATAAAACATACATTGTATAATCAAACTTATGTATTATAAACTTGAAATTTATTTTAAAAAATATGTACAGTACTTCAACTACTACTTGATTTTAGGAAAAATATAAATATTTATAATAGCTAATCAACTTAACTATTCATTGGTCTTTTAAAATATGTATTGCTATTAAGTAGTCTTAATGCTTAGGTACTGTACATTATTATAATTTAGAATTACTTTGGTGAAATTGTGAGGTAAATAAAGATAAGTACTTTGATGTACTAAATAGTGAAAAATTAAATTATAACAATGAGAAAACGATATAAAACCATTTAATTTCATTAGCAGTTAAAAATAATACTAAACATAACAAATAGATGTATTATTTATTAATGCAAGATAAACTAAACTGACGTTTAGATCCACAAAAGAGTTTCTTATTAAAACATTCTTCTATTAGCGTGACAGTGATTTTTTTCAGGTTTATATGATCACTTTTGAAAATGATTGGTCAGTCACAGCTTTTTGCAGAGATATCTATTTTTCTAGTATTTCGTCATTATATTTTGACATTCACTGCTATTATTATCATTATTGTGGTTATTTTATTAGAAAAGTATTTTTGCTAATCAAATTATAAGAACTGTGTGATCTCTGCCGTGAGATATCATATTCAATGTTTTTTATGTTTTTACAAGTTTTTGATCATTGTTGACGTGTTTTCCAGCTCCTCATTGGTTTCGGTCGATGAAAAAATACTATCAGGAATATCAGAAATCTATAAACTAGTTTCACGCTCACTACCAAATAAGGCTCGATATGGTAATTTGCCAATGACTCGATGTTACAATGCATTTTTTGATACTACAAAAAATAGCATCCGATCAATCATTTTGTCGAATTATTGTTGCGCAACTAAGATCCAAGCATATTTTTAACATATCGGTTACTGCATTCTATATTTCCTTGTGTTTGTGGATGTGGAGAACTGCCATTAAAAATTACATTTTTTTTTTTATTGGAAATGTCAGAGACATTGTGTTCCAACCCCCAAATAACAAAAAAAATGATCCCCAATAAAATGATTATAAAATATAAAAGATATAACAAACATAAAATAAAAAAAAATTATAAATAAAGTGAAACAACAGTTACATTATAAATTATATAAAATAGATTTACGTTTATTTTTAAAAAAATTAAAATAACGATATAGATAAGTTTCAACAGGCTGTATGTGAGATGCTATACGGTAAAAAAAAGATCTCTGTGAAAGAGAAAGGCGAAAAAATGGGATGAGGAAACATGATGTATTACGGGTTCTTACAGTAGGGATGCGGAGACTTAGCCAGTAATTTAAGATTAGACCATTGAAGTATTTAAAGCATAGAATGCGGTCAAAATATTTTAAGCGATCAGAAAGATTTGGAAGACCAAGGCGAACTCTTGCCACATCATGGTTGTCAGTAATGGGTAAATTGCAGAATTTGTGTATCCGAAAATAAACTTTATTTAATTCAGATTGTATTTTTTGAATCAGATAAGGGGCAGCCATGGCCCAGACAGGTAAACAATAATTTACTATTGATTGAAAATTAGTAAAGAAAATTGTTCTGAGTACGGCCTTTGAAGAGATATTTTTGCAAAACCGCCAGATAAAGTCATGTCTAATTGCAAGAGATTTAATAATGTAAGAGATACGATCATGGAATATTAATTTTTTATCAAATATGATACCAAGGTCACGATGAAACTGGACATGGTTTGTTTTAGAAGAATCAATAAATATGGAAGGGTGGTTGGGATTGCGAAGTAGAGAAAAACACATAATGACAGTTTTATGGATATTGATTTTTAGATTATAACTGGCAAGATTAGAACATAAAGAATTGACAGTTCTGTCTACATATTCACAAAGTTTTGCAGTGAACTCCTTGTCATTTTCACTCTGTCGGATATATGGAACTCCAAATTGTAAAAAAAATATTTAACAGTTACAGTTAATTCAGACAATTATTTTAATTGAAGTGGTCTAAGGAGGTGTAAGTATATAGTACTATTAACTTGATTAGTCATAAAATCTTTAGAAACTATTGGATGTATCACAATATTTTTTTTGGGTATATTACATTTGGTTTTGAAGATACATCATAATGCACAAATATTTCAACTGTTTTTTATATATAAAATCTGTTTTAATACTGTATATCATTTTGTCATGATTACCATGTCCATGGAATTGAAATGTCAAATAACCTAAAAAATTCTTTTTTTAAACTATAGTTTCTTTAAATTTCCATGCCATTTTCCTTAGAACTTCATTAGTTGTTTGTTGATATTATCTTTAAACCTATTATATTCAGGCACATTTTGCACGCTTTCATTATTTGTTGTAATATCCACTATTTCTAGTGGAACAGACATACTAGATGATGCCATATTGGTGAATGTCTGTTGGTACTTCAAGTGGTAAGAATCTGAAGAAAATACGACAATCTGGTGGTTTATGCAAAGCCACATTGTAAAGCGCCTAAGGCCAGTTGTATTGCAGAACATGAAATGTCATTCAATTCGATGAGATTTAGTTTAGCTTGTTTGTAAAATGGCTGAACGTTAGTTAATTGAACCATTTTATAAAATGGCATCATTTAATCAAATGGTTGGATCCTTTTTAAAGCAGCTAAATTAACACAATCCTGCTGTTACATATATATCTAGTATTAATTTATTATATTTAAATTATTGAATTTATAATACAAAAATGTTATATTTAAACTTTGTTTTATTTAATCCAAATAGTCGATATAAAAATTGATTTTATTTAGGCCGACAATAAAAGAGCCGCTCTCGAAGAAACCAAGAATTATACCACACAGTCTCTGGCGAGTGTCGCTTATCAAATAAATACATTGGCATACAATGTTCTACACATGTTGGATTTGCAAACAACACAATTGGCAGAAATGGAATCACAGATCAATCATATTGGCCAGGTAAGAACTATTTGATTTTTTTATAAAGAATATTACAAAAGTTCTTTAAGTGAAATTCAATAAAATCATAAAGTGTGATCTAAAATGAGAGGAAAATGAAACTGTTTCAAGATGTTTAATTACACTCGCTCTTTGTAAGTAATATGATTTTTCTACACTTATATTACTGAAATATCAATAAGATTGAATGAAAATCAATTTTATATATAATAAATATGGAAACTTAGTTAAATTTATTAAATGTTCTTTTTGCTAATTAATATAAAACTAACTTGTAATTTGTAAAAAACACTTTGATATGAAGATGTATTAGGAAGAAATTAACATTGAAAAAGGGAAGTGTAAATACAGGAATCTTCTTAATGAGAAATTTGATTAATGTGCAAAATGAATTGCAGCAATCTCTTTATATATGTGACAGAAGTTTTAATTAATATAGATATAACAGCTATCTTCACTAAATATATATATATATATGTTTTTCTTAGAAAATAAGGTGGTGAATTTGCTGTTTTCATTTATTAAAAGTAAAAATCTATATTGTTAACTGAAAATTTGTTCTTAATTAAAAATTAATTAGAAGGGCTTTTCTGTTGTCTTCCAATCAAGTTGCTATCAATATCAAGCTTAAAGCTTTTCACTCAGCAGTAAGTGCGGCGGGTTATGCTAGGTCTAAATATATGTACAGCGTAAGAAAGGTTAAAAGATTTTTTTTTCCTGCCATGACTTTACAGGTCTATATACGATAGTCCATCCTGCTCTACCATTCTGTGGCCGTATTACTGTCCGCATTTGCCGTGTTTTTAGGCAACATGTGCTCTTTCTGCCAGTTTCTCCGTGACCAAACCTTAGAAGGGTATGCAACAACAGGGATGCTTTTTTCGTGCTAGAGAGGTTTAGAGTTTATTCTATCCATTTGGAATGTACAACGTCTGGTACTCATACCCAGTATGTCAGAGCAACATCCAGAATGTTGTCTTGCCGTATTTCTTAACACCAGCAATCTATCAGGGCAGGCAAGTGTGACACCAAGCTAGCAAGAATGGTGTCGCAACATCAATACACCCTGTTGTGGGACCAATTGGTGATGCTCAAGCAGTGTGGTAAGCAGTGTGGCAAGCAGTCATATAAGAAGCGCTCACTGGGAATCTACCAAACCCAGATGCCTCCATTGGATTCCAAGATTGTAAAGCGAGATTTATCACTCCAAAGAACACTTTTCCACATGTCCACAGTTTAATGACAGTGAGCTTTGCACCATTGCAATTGACACTTCACATTCTGGAGAGTGATGTTCGGCTTGTGAGCAGCTGCACAACCATGGAATCCCAGGTTTTTTAACTCTTGATGAACAGTCCTGGTGCTAACACTAATGCCTGATGATCTTTGGAACTCCTGAGTGATTTCAACCAACGAGGGTGGGTGATTTTGTTTCACTACCCTTTTCAGAGTTTTACGGCTGCATTCACTAATTTTGTTTGGCCTGCCATGTCATTTTTTTCCACTTTCACTGCCTTGACATTTTCACTTCACAATTACGTCACCCACAGTGGATTTTGGTTTCTGTAGAATGTTTGAAATTTCACGAAATGATTTCCCACAAAGGCGGCATCCCACTATAATGACATGATCAAAGTCACTAAGCTCCTTTGACTTACTCATTGTCTCACAAATGCATAAATATGACCTGAAAAACCACTACCAACACTTTTATACGTTTCGGTTACACATCAGAGACCATCACCTACCAGATCCACTTCTTTCAGGGGTGTCCGGATACTTTTGGACAGATAGTGTATATCATCTACACATCTAATATATAGTAGTGGATACTGGACTACTAAAAGGCCAGAGAAAGCTCTAAATTCAATATTTTTCGTGATTAACTCTGAAGTATCGATGATAGTGGACAGTCGATTGGTACTCCTAGTTTTTGAAGATAAATTTGGTTATTAAACAAACACCTTACATAAACCAAAGGACTACACAATAGTGTGTCCATTGCTACTGTTCCATGGCTGCATTAAAGCCCGGATTTGCTGTATTTTCACACAACATGTATTACTTTTATTGGTTATGTCGCACCCAAGTCTCGGGATGCTTCTATGCAATGACAGGGACACTACTTCCATCGTAGAAAAGTCAAGAGTATACTTTATCCCATTAGAAAACACAACATCTGGTATACACACCCACTACATAGGGGCAACAACTAGAATGTTATCTTGACGCATTTCCGAATATCAACATTCCATCAGGGTAGGCAGTTGTGACGCTGAGTTATCAAGGATGTTGTTACATCATCATCACACCCCGGGGTGGGATTGGGTGGTGATGCTTGGGTACTGTGATCAGAGGAGGCTGGTGTGTGTTTGGGAGGACCTCCTCACCATATTATTAAATCCATGCAATTCCCACACACTTGAGTTGCGTGCAATGTGGGTTGGCTTATATAAAAGACTGAAACATCACTTTCAGCTTCGCTTCCAGCATCTAAGCTATGCATTATGGTGTATGCGTGTACTCATCTCACACACTTTAATTTAAATTCTTTATGTTTGCTTATATTATTTGTAATTTGTTCTCAACTGTGCCATTAGCTTTTAAATTTAAAAAAGCTTGTTCAAAAGGTTTATTTGAATTTATATTCACCTGAGGACAACGCCTTATAATATGTCGAAAGCACTAGCAGCAATAAAACATTATTTTAAACGCATTTAATGCCTTTTGTGAAAATTTTTATTTTATTAAAAATTATTTCTTACTGTTTCTATTTGTGTACATGCTTAATTAAATAACTGATTATATTACAGTAGAGCGTCGTCTATCTGAATCAATTGGGGACCAGTGTTGTTCGGATAACCGGTTGTGTACCAAAAAAATATATTAACCTAGCCTGTGTTGAAAATTTTTTCCATTTGGTGTTGCTTCATATTGAATTTTTGTCAATGTTAAGCCTAACATAAATTTTAAAAATAATAATAGTGGCTATAGTATCATGAAAAATTATTTCTTTATTTTGTACAAACAAAATAAATATATTGGAAAATATAAAAACAAAAGAATTATATTTTGGAAGTTAATCTAGTATTAAAAACGTTCAGCACGACACAGTCTGACTGGAACGCTTTCGGTTAACCAATGTTTCGGTTGAACGGCTTTCGGATAAACAACGCTCTACTGTATTTTATATCATTAATCTGTAATAATGAATATTTTTTATCAATATATTTAAACTATGAAAAATAGTATAAGAAAGAAATCGTAGATTTAAAATATCGACACCAATTTATTACAGTAATAATTTTGTGTTATCTTTGCAGACTGTAATGATTCATAAAGAAAAAGTTGCTCGACGTGAAATAGGTATTCTCACTACAAATAAAAATACCTCTCGTCAGCATAAAATTCTCGCTCCTGCCAATCCCGAACGTCCGATCAAATATATACGAAAGCCGATTGACTACACCGTTCTCGACGACATTGGTCACGGAGTAAAAATGATAAGCAACACTCCCCGTTCAAAGCGTACGCTCGGACCCGGATCTCAGAGTCACATAAACGGAGGCAGTGCCGGACCGGCACCGACGACCAAGCCGCCCACTCCTCCCCAACCAGTTCGTGCGGGTGGAAGTCTGTCGAGAGGATCGAAAGAGTACCGTACGCCGGCTCCTCCCATCGCTCCTCCTCAGGTACCTAGTAATTATGCTCCTAACTATCCGATCGGTCATCCCCGATCTCAAGAATCCAGGCGAGGGAGTGGTTATTCGACTCTTCCCATCGTCGCTTCACATTCTCAGAATATTCAACAGTCTCAACCACAGATAGGAATGGTGCATCCCATAACCCACCACCAACAGCACACAATGACCATCAATCCTCCTTCGCCGATTCCACCTCCACCACCACCAGAGATGTCATCCGTAAATTTAACCGACAGTCTGCCCGGTATGAAAACGATAAATATATTTTAATAACTATTAATATTTTGCTTCGTTTAATTAAATTTTTTTTTGGTGTACTGCATTTAGAATAATCAAAGATCCTAAGAAATTTAAGGAAAAAAAATAATTATAAAAATTATAATTTCAAATATTTTAATTTTGCTAGAACCTCCTATACATTTGTCGGGAAATGATTTTGAGCACAGTGGAAACGGTAAGTTTATCTGTATTAAAATGAAACAAAACAGAAAAAACGGTAGATTTAAATAAAATTTCATTAAAATTTTTAAGTGTATTTTGCACTCTGATCTTTAAATTCTTGAGAATTCTTTTAAATTATTGTAATTCCTATTACCGTTCATTATTAAAGATACAAATTATTTAAATTACACAAGATTTTAAATAGTGCTATAATTATTTAGTGAAGTAAATTTTCTACTTAAAAAGATTTCCCCTTTCTTCAAATAAGTTAAGAAAGTAATTTGAATCGTTTTATCTTACTGAACCTTCATAATACTTTTAATGAAAAGAAATTATGATATTCAAATTTAATCACAATTTATAAATATTTTCTAAGGTTAAGATGAAAGTAAACTGCATCATTTAAAGCTTAAATCATAAATTCTTTAATAAATGTGAAGTTATATGCATACTATGCAAAGATTTAAATAAAAGTACTTCGGTTTTATAACATAAAATGAGTGTATAGTAAATTAGTTTTTAATTTAATTCATTCTTAGAGTAAAATTCATGATTATATAACATTAAGAAAGTTTACTTTGAACAGAAATTTATTATTTAGTGGTAATGTTTGATATATTATGTTGGTGATTAATGTAAATTTTACTTCTATTGGTCTGCCTACATATTTTTATCTTTAGTTTTATTAAATTTGCCAATTAATTACTTTTAATGATGATAAAAAATGTTAAGTTCTTAATACTAATGAAAATTTTGAGGTTTGAAAGTAAGTGTAGTGCATTCTCCATAGAATCGTCTAAGTAATCTGGAGAGAAATTTTGGATATTTAAATTGAATACATAATACATAAAACTTATTTTTAATAATAGTAATAATAATAATATAAAAGCAGTAAAAATGTCTTTTGAAAAATTTATAAAAGTGCTATGCTTTGTTGGAGTAAATTTTAAATATTTTAAACATTTTTGACTCATTTTCATTGGTTTAAAGACATTTCAATTTGAAATATTTTCAAGTTTACTCCAATAAAATATAATTTGTATAATTTGAATTTTGTAAATTTTATGTTACTGAAGTAAACCAAATTTGACGATATTTTAAAAGTAAATTGATATTAGTTTTACCTAAAGTTAGTTTAAATTTTCTGCATTTAGAATTTTCATTTATTTGGGTTTATGAGAATGCATCGTCATGATTATATCACCTGCCAAGAACATTAGTGACATAACTTTGAAATTGTTAACATTGAGTTGGGTGTATTGTTAGACTTTCAATCATTTATGGCAATAGGTGTTTGTTGTGTCATTATTTCCCCATAAAACCTTGAAAACTTATTCAAATTTTGATACTTCAGTGACATACAGTAAGTTGAATTTTAAAAATTGAATACTAATTTGCATCACCTTCAAGTAGAAACTATTATAGCCACAAAGGAAGAAAATCTCAATTAGATAACTCCAGTAGCCGAGTAGGAATGGAAGGTTGAAGTTTTGAAAAACTTTGGAATGCATGATTGTCTTGAAATGTCATTTTGGAGTTACATCACTAATATCCTTGGCAGGTGATATTGTTTCCTACAATGTAGAAGAATAACTTACAGAATAAGAAAAAACAAAATCAAGTTTGAGTGATATGGTTCTATGAAAATCTTTTGTTCGCATTAAGGAATTCAAAGAATCAAATTTTAAAATGTATATAAATGCGTGCTTTTATGAAGTAGTTAGGAATGTAGCTAACATAATAAATATTATGTCACAATATATATTTGTACCACATAATGTACCATACATAACTTTGCTATATTTTGTAATCTTGTTTTAATGTGTTGACTCACACACTTCAAACTTATTTTCAAATTACACTTGGCGTGCTTTGAATGTAGTCTCTACAGGAGTGATACTTTCAAAGAAATTGATGTAATAGGCTATATTGCTCCGACTTACACCAATTTTGTCGCTGATAAAGCCATGATTAGCAAATTAGCAGATTGTTTTGTTTAATCTATTGATATCGTCACTTTGTTCAGTCCAGTTTTTCTCTAATTAGATTCTGCAGAATCTCGAGATTTCATGAAGACATGTATATGGTGCTGCAAGATGAAAATGCGTAATGGCAGAAAAATTTATTGACAGTCTTAAATTTGTATGTACAACATTCAACGTAGGTCAGTGAGAACATTTGGACAATCTATTGCTGTTTGACAAAGATGTTTAAAAGAATATTCATTTTATTTCAACTTACTTATTTTTATTTATTAATAAAATGTGTGTATTTTTTTAAGTTTATGTTACCAAAAAGTTGTAGATTGACTTCATTGGCAATGGAATATTGAGTAGTGGTGTTGTCCAATACGTGTACAGACATTTTATAGTTTCAGTTATTAAAAATCATAGACTGAGATTCACTGGCTTTTAATCCATAAATTAAATAAAGTAAAACAATATCCTGAAGTGTTAAACCAGTGAAGTGTTGAATTCAGAATAATGCAGTTGATAATTAGAAATCAGACTGCACTTTAATCTGCAGAAGTTCTATTATTTTAAGTCTAGAGATGTTATTTTGACATCATATATTTTTTGCAACTTTTTTTTTATACTGCAACATTGAATTTTTGGTGTTTTTGTTTAAGTTTCTGAGTTAAGATAATACTGTGACCGTGAAATGCGAAAAACAGTCAGATATTTTTATTATTTAATAATTATCCTTCATTCTTTCTAGGTTTTGCTTTTATTTCATTATTCTGAATTTTAACTGGAAACATTATTTATATAAGACAAATTTGATTTTTAAAATCAAAAAACAGTGTTAAATTAAGAAACATATTTTGAAAAAGGCTTCCACCTTTGAATTTCTTGCTAATTGCTTTATTGGAGTTTATTGTCTTTATTTTATTCCTAAAAGGTTTTTTTTTTTTCATTTAATTATCATCTACAGCTAAAGGTGTTAGAACAACGCAAAAGAAAATCCTACAATATCCTATGTTAATATTAAAATTGGATGATTTTAAATGTGTGGAAAAATTGATCCAATAAATTTAGAGATAATCTGGCAGCCCAGTACAGTTTTGTCCATGTGAGGGCTTGCATTTTGGTAGTATCATCCAACCTATACTATTAGATGGAGTAATGTGAGAATGAGGAATGACTGGCTCCATGAATCATACTACTGTAAGGTCTCTTTTTATGCGATTTTGAAGTTGTGCGGTTTGTATTTCATCCAAAATTTTCTTGGATAAACATACATATAGGCTTGTTTAGGAAGCTCGCGTATAGACAGTGTCCAAAAATCGTGGAACGCTCAAAGCTCACTCCATTTGTTCCACTGACATATAACGTTTATGGATGTAAAGGACAGCTAGATTTACCTTAATCGCTTTAGTTCCTAGCAATTTTTGATATAAATGTAATTAAACATAAAAAATATTTAAAACTGAAAAAAAACGAAAGAAATGTGTTAATTTTGAAGAAAAAGCTTCAAAGTTTAACTTCCTTTGTCTCGCCCTTCTGTTAAATTTAACACAGATGAGTCATTGTTTACACATCTGGATGACCTTGAACACAGCTGGAGTTGGATTTCCCGGGGCATTCTCATAGACGTCGCGGGAGGACAAGGGTTTAAAGTAGGGCGAACACTAGCTGGCCGTATATTTTTAAATATTTTTAAAAAATTTGGAGACTTAAAAAACATTCAAAAAATTCAAAAATTCAAAAATGGCCTTAAGGACCGTGTTTTATGTAACACTATGTAACCTGCCCGAGTTAACTCGGGCGAGGAACTAAAGGGGTTTTAATTAACTCTTCACATTCAGATGTTAGTGATTTGTTTTTAGAGTGAGCTTTTGCAATTCGTGGATTTCTCTTGTATTACTTTTCAATAAAATAAACTGAATTAAGTTTGAATTCAAGTTTATTTTAAGCTTTTATATGAATTTCTTTCAGACATTCGAAGTAATTTATTAAGCAGCTTATTTCTTTTAATTTCTGCAAACTTTTTTATGCGGTTTTAAGTTAATTTTAACTCGTTGTTTTGGTTTTATGCAATTTTAGAAAATTACGGAACGTATCCCTACTTTTTCAAGGCAAGTAAAGTCTTTTTTTATGTGAATTTTTTATATGCGCTTTTCTGCAGAACGTATCCACTGCATAAAACGAGACCTTACAGTATTTTAAACATGTTTGACAGCAGCGAATAACACCACGTTTTAATATCCAATTAATGTTATGGAACTAGTTTACAGCCAATAACCAGGTTTAAACTTAAAGTTTAAACCTGGTTATTATTATTATTATAGAGATTGCAGACATTATTCTGGGTTATTATTATTATAGAGCTTGAAAGCTATAATAGCCTGCAAGCTCTATAATAATAATAATAATCCAAAATAATGGCTAATTTTTAGTTTAAAAACATAGATTTGACTGTTTTCATCTCTGCAAGTGATTTCTTAATGTTGCAGCTTAAAAGCCTATTTCTCTTAATATTTCATAAATATATATAAATTGTTTAAAATTTTCATCTTGTGTTATTTATATGCCAAGATATTTAAAATAATTAGAAAATAATTCATTTGTATTTTTAATTAATGAGATTTTGTGACTAGATTTTTGTGTATTTTAAGTAATTTATTACAAATAACAGATGACTATTCTATACTTTATTAATTTGATGAATTAACTTAATTCATATATTTTTAGTTGATATCTACTGATAGAAATGAATTGAAAATATTTTCTCATTTCAAGGTAGTAGATAATATTTAATATAAAACTATCATCAATATAATATATTTCATTTGTCTTTTGACATCTTTATTCTTAGTATCTCCTCCTTTACCTCCTCCTCCACCCGAAGACGAAGGGATGTACAATTATAATCCTCTCTCCTCTCCGAATTTTCTACGAAATCGAAGCGAAGAAGATCCCAGTTGGGTTCCCAAAAACTATCTTGACAAAGGTCAGTATTTAATTTCTCTAATAATTTGTAAAACTTGGTTCCATAACCATAGCATGGATTGTTTGTTACAGTTTTATCACTCAATACATGTTAGTTTATATGAAATTTCCTAAGTCATTATAATTACTTTTTAGTTGTTGCGATTTATGATTATGCCGCCGATAAGGAAGACGAACTTTCGTTCTCAGAAAATTCAGTGATTTACGTAATCAAGAAAAACGATGATGGATGGTACGAAGGAGTGATGGATGGAGTTACCGGTCTGTTTCCTGGTAACTATGTAGAACCTTGTTTGTGATCAATACGAACATTTTGAGGTCAAAAAGTTGTTTTGTGGGTCTTCGTTACGAAGTGGATTGTGTGTAATGCTCCTCTGCGTGTATGAAATGTGACTGCTAAGTCAAGTCATAGTATTAAAATTATTTACTTGTTTTAATGATCAGAAAATATGTACACAATATTTATTATAATTTGTTACATTTTAATAGCATTTTTTTTCTAAATGACTCAAACAAATTGTAGAAAATTGCAATCATAACATTTTATTTGAACACATGGACATATAAATTGATGATTACTTTGATATTGTAAATATCAAAATGATTTATTTTTCTCTTCTAACATCATTTATTCTTTTTCTTTCATATTAATACCTTTAATTTATTACTTAATATGACAAGCATTATACCAGAGATTTGATCAACTAGTAAAGTATGATCATTTTGGTTTATGATTATGTATAGCATTCATACTTTGCAGTGTGTTCTTCCAATTTTTCTCTCTGATGGAATGATCTAGCCAAAGTATGCGCTGGACTTTCGATCTGTAGCATAGTTTTCTGGCTTTTCCTGACAAATACTTTGGCATTTCGATGCATATGTGGTATGGACTCGCATGCCTCGTAAGTCTTGTCATTCACTAACTTTCCTAGTCTTGTGAAAGGTTAGTATTTGTACTGTTTGTCAAAAATGTAATTGACGGAGGTTTTTCAAACAATTTTATAAAATGAACATTTTTCTTTTCAAGAAAACGGACCAAATTTCTTTTTCTTAATTTCAGTTTGTAAGGACCTTTTTCAATAGATCTTTCAAGTATCTTTCCATTCAATGCTGATGTTTAAACTTCTTGATCCTATTCTGATTATGTGTTCTATAAAAGTGTATATTTATGTAAAATATTTATTTGATTGTTTAATTTTTCTTTACATATTGTATGAATCATTTAAAAGCTTTGCTAATCAATCAAGCATCACAATCATTGTTTTTTTCAGTAAGTGTTTTTTCTTAATTCTTATTTGAGAAATTCCAATATTTTAAATTGTGCTTTAACAACTTGTGCAAGTTTTTTTAGTTTTAAATCTCTCTCATTTTTACTCTGTTAAATGTGTGATACAGAGTTAAGATTTTCAAGTATCCTTTAGAGAAATTTTCATAGAAAATAAAGGACAGTGTGTTTTATTTTCTGAAGCTATTTTAGTTTATAGTATTGTAACCTTTTTGATTACTTTTTATAAACCAAAGGATAAATATTTGTAAAAATTATGAATACTATATTAGATTTATGATAAATTCATGTATTAAATATTATGTATATTACAATATATAAATTATATGATTATTTAATCGTTTTAGGTGTATTATTTTGTATTTTTTGTTTAGCGCATAAGCCCAAGTTTAAATGTGTCTAGAAGGGAATAATCGGTCGGATGTCCCTGAAATGTAACTGGTCAGTGCACCACACAATAAGCGGAGATACAGGTTTGAATCCTGCTCTTGGCCAATTTTCTTCCAGTCTATTCTAAAATGAAATCAAATTTTAGTTATTACTTTTGTTAAGGGATGGCATGTAACATTTACCTCTAATTTGTTATCAAATAATTTCTAAGTATTATTTGTAGCATGATATTGCCCGATTAATTTGGCTGAAGTTCAGTTGATTAGCCCATAAATTTAATGGGGGGAATATCACTTAATTTTACTTTCTATTCAGTAACTGACTACTGACTGTTTTTTGTATACAGGGTTAAATTACATATTATATAACTTTATTAAAATAGGGAAAATAATATTTTTCTTATTGTAATTAAACACTTCTTTATCATTTTAAAGTCATGATGTTTCACTATTCATTGTTTGACAGTTGTCACTTGCTCAAGGTCATTCCAGTTATATTATTTAAAACTTTGCGAAAAATCCAAGTATTATCATACACATACGAAAAAATTCACAGATATACATTACTTTGTTTGTAGTGAAGTTTCTTTTTCTAGTGTAAAAAATTTCCCCAAAAAATAATATGTTAAAAATGCATATACAATAAATATCACAATTATCACTGTTTTATATATCAAATAAAACGATTTCTTTATTTGTTTCTTGTATATTAACATGATAAACAATTGTTTTTCCATCACAACTAAATGCATAGGCATCTTTGACATCAAAATATTCAAATATATTCAAAAATTTCTTTTTGGCGAATGCACGTTTCGAGTATACGCTCTTCTACTGTCGGATTTTCTTCTGATATATTTTGTTTGGAGGTTCTAATTGATATATATCTTGCCAAAAAATTACATACATTAACAGTTAAAAATTTGTACACAAACGTTTTTGGCATAATACTGAACGACACTTAGCTCACACTTCTGATGCCCGAATTTACAAGGTTTTCCTTTGTTGTGACAGATAAAACAAACTAAAGAAGACACTATTTCAGAATAAACAAAAATAAACAATATTTAACTTCTATAAATGTAGAGCCCTAAGATATAATTCGCCCGTTGGAGATTAACTTTGAGTTTTAGTTACAGTCTCTGTGTATATTAAAAAACATAACAGACAGAAAAATTATAAAAAGATTACATATGTGTAAGTAGTATAGACAGGTAAAAAAAAAGAAATCATATAAGTATATGAAAGCATCAATAAAGGTCAATCAGAACCTTATGCCGCTAGCAAGACAAGTGACATTATCATAATAAATCATACTAAATATACTTAAAGTTATTTAATTAACAGAGTCTTACATTATCAACATATGTAATGTCAACATAATTTGCAATGTTCATGACACAACAACAATTTTTGAATTCTTGTCTGTCTTTATTTCTTTAATGTTTTGATTTGAAGTTACTGTTTCTTGCGATGTTCTATTTCTTAGCACGTTGGACAGAAGACTGCTCAATGGGGATTCGAAGAATACAAAGAAGAACAGAGCAGCAATAAGTGACAAGAACATAACAAACGAATGTAACATCCACTGTAAAAAATAAATGTAATCAATTATGAATAACTTCTCAAGAGTGAAATCTCAAGACCTTAAAAAAAGCCTTTTAAATGAGCAACAAAAATCGCAATATTTTTCTGCTCAATTAAAGCAGACTTGGCATTGGTGCGAAAAAATTTTGGAGATATTCTAAAATTTATTGATAAACTAGAGTCATTCAATATAAGCATCAAGCTCATCTGCCTGGTTGTAGCAGTGGGCTTAGTACCCTGGTCATCACTCGGAGAAGTGAACTTGGAAAGCTAAGGATGTGGCGGCATTCGCGTAAGCTATGATGAGAGGCATTAAGTTAAGATCTGGATGGCACCTAGGCGACTTAAAATTTTAGTGTCATGAACGATCTCATGTGTGACGTGGCAAAAAGTTCGTTTTACGTTAGCTTTGCTGCAGCATAGGAAATCCCAAAGTCAATCGTTTATCTTCTTCCAGTACATCTTCGAGTTTGGATCCCAACATAAACTTTTCTAAATCTAAAAGTAAGGTGAGAGGTGGAGGAGGTTAAAAGGTAATGTTGGATGACCTTTTCTCGAATCGACTTAAGAGGTTATGTTACTATTTATCTGGTAGTGTTAAACGAGATAGACAAGATGCATCAAATGATGCCACTTACAAGTAAATTGTGCTGTGAACAAGTTATTGAAGTTCAATGGGATCCCACTTTTTTGTTAGATTAAAAATCATTACATTGATTACAATAATACAAACAATACTATAAATTATTATATTATCAATACTAGCTGTTACCCGCGACTTTGCCCGCGGAGGTTTTGCAAGTAAACCCCATTTATATTCAGTATTTCAACAACCATAGTAATTGTTATATAACACCTACCGCCGAGAATGATGATAATCGCCGAGAATCAAACAAACAATTTTCAATTTGATCAATTTTCTGGAACGATTACAATCGTTCTATAATCGAACCGATACGCAATAACAAATTCGAATCTAAAAGGGTTCGAACATTTGGTTAAAAAATCGAAATATATAAAAATATTTATAACAATGTCTGAAATGTTATAATTTAATGCAAGAATCAGGTCCCCCGTTTCCAGACTAATTNAACAAATGCGAATAATGTTTCCACTCTTTTGCCGTTGCCAATGACAATCTGCTATTTTTATTATATATTAGTATTATTAAAATATATTATTAGTATATTTGAAGTACAGAGCTCCCGTTAAGATTCGGCTTGCTCCCTTGTTTATTACGTACATCACCTCAGTGCAGGGTATCTACATTTATTCAAGTGTTGTGAAAATCATGGCTTCTAGGTAAACAGAAAGGTGATTTGAATTGAAACAAAGCAAGACATCATCAGAAAAAGTGAAAGTTGACAAAAAGTTTCTTGTCGAATGGGGAGATGTTCAGGAGTTTACCAACAATCATTATCCAAACAGAGCTGAGGCCAACAGTATCAATGATCTCTACAATGACACCCTTGCCCGCCATTTCCGACAACTGTTGAAGAAGAGAGAAACAGACCACCATGGACATGTTTTTCAAGAAGCCAGCTGCCAAAAAACAAAGGATGCAACAAGAGGAGATGACCCTGCAAGTTCTGGTTGCCTCTCCTGAATCTGACTCCGATTAAAAAACAATAAAATGAGACCCTCTACAATGTGTAAAAAGTCTGTATCTATATGAATGTGTGAAGAAAGTGTTCCTCTACCTCCTCACAACATCTGACTACCCGGCATAATTGGTGACTTCTTTATTTCCAGTTTTTTTTATAGTACAGTACGGTTATTTTATGTCGCGGAACGAATTATATGTTTTAACATGTATTTCTATGGGAAAATGCGTTTCGTATAACGGACTTTTCACTTAACGAACGTGCACCTGGAACGGATTAAGTACGTTATACGAGGCACCACTTTAATTGTTATATAACACTTATTGCCGAGAAACAAACAAACAATTTTTAATTTGATCAATTTTCTGGAACGTTTACAATCGTTCTATAATCGAAACGATACGCAATAACAAATTCGAATCTAAAAAGGTTCGAACATTTGGTTAAATAATCGAAATGTATAAAAATATTTATAACAATGTCTGAAATGTTATAATTTAATACACCTAAGTACTTCATGAAGACTAATCGTAACAAAAAATCGCATGTGAAATAGTACAGTAGAAGCCATTCTTCCTGTTAAGCCTTAATGCTCTCCCTTTCCCCCGCTGTGGAATTTCGAAAAATCCCTTCTTAGTGTGCATTGCCATGGCGTACCCAACTAAAACGTTTAACATTTTTCGAATGGTGTGGGGCGTCATAACACTTTATATTTATTATTTCAACAACCATAGTTATTATGTAATTTATAACAATCCAAATGTATAAAATTATTGCGTTAAACATACCCCGTATTACTGAGAATCTTCTAATTCAGTCGAACGTTTTCAATCTGACCAATTTTCCAGAACGTTTGCAATAATTCTATAATCGAACAAATATGCAGTAACAAATTCGAATTTAAAACGGTTCGAACATTTAATTAAAAAATCGTAATACGTAAATATCGTACATTTGGAAATTAAGTTATTACCACCAGAAACAAAAACTCGCATTTAAAATAGTACAGTAGAAGCCATTCTTCTGGTTAAGCCTTAATGCTCTTTCTCTCCCACCGCTGGGGAATATCGAAAAATTCCTTCTTAGTGTGCGTTTTCATGACATACCCTAACTGTGTACCAAATTTCACCAGTAGGTTCAGCGATTTGCTCTGGGCGATGATGAATCAGTGAGTGAATGAGTCAGTCAGGACAAGCAATTTTATGTATTTAGATTAACTATTTTTCACTATACGATAAGTGCTCATAATTAATGAANATCAAACAAACTATTTTCAATTTGATCAATTTTCTGGAACGTTTACAATCGTTCTATAATCGAACCGATACGCAATAACAAATTCGAATCTAAAAAGGTTCGAACATTTGGTTAAAAAATCGAAATATATAAAAATATTTATAACAATGTCTGAAATGTTATAATTTAATACACCTAAGTACTTAATGAAGACTAATCGTAACAAAAAATCGCATGTGAAATAGTACAGTAGAAGCCATTCTTCCTGTTAAGCCTTAATGCTCTCCCTCTCCCCCCCGCGGGGGAATTTCGAAAAATCCCTTCTTAGTGTGCGTTTTCATGACGTACCCTAACTGTGTACCAAATTTCACCACTAGGTTCAGCGGTTTGCTCTGGGCGATGATGAATCAGTGAGTGAATGAGTCAGTCAGGACAAGCAATTTTATATATATAGATTAACTATTTTTCACTATAAGTGCTCATAATTAATGAAAAACTATAAAAAGTTTATGATAATTCAATTTTTGTTTCTTTTCTTAGTTATTTTTGAAATTATGCAAAATATGCCGAAAATTCTATGGATAGAGTATTAGCGTCTACTGACTTTTCTATTTTTAACTTTCATGTATTGTACATATTATTTGCCTTGTGTACCTATTTTTTACGCTTGTACAAATTTTTAGGCCTATGTGCTTTAGCCATAAGAATGGCCAAAATTATCATGGGAATGGAAGTTCATAGGTCAACTTGCGAATTATTAAAGTCAGATATGCAAATGTATTACATAACATGAAAATTTTCAACTTTACCAAATTAAACTGTAAGACACCAGTAGCCTTTCTCATAGTGCCACCAACGTAAAAGATGATTGAAAAGTGAAGCAGATATATCCAGACATACAGACTGTTTAACACCACAAAAATACGAAGAGATAACAAACGATTGAGGGTTCCTGAAAATAAATAAACAACGGTAAAGTGATTATTTAATATTTTTTCGAGTGGCAAGTAAATAAAAACTTGTAAATAAATACAGTCAGATTATTTTGGTTTAAACAGTTTCAACTATTTTGAAAATTAAACTGAACTAAGTACAACTTCCAGGCTATTAATTTAATTAACTACAAACATCCAGTAAAACTGTGTCGGTAAAGTAAGTGAACTTCTTCATGTAAGATAGTATACATTGGCTATAATATAAATATAGTTTACAATATAAAAGTAATAATTATCTAAATAACTCTAATTAATTCACTTACCGTATGTATTTACTTAAATGCAGTGTATAGGATATGTATCATTTAGGAAATTGTATTTTACTTCAGCAAAAAGTTAGTTTAAAGTTCACAAATGCAATTATAACTGTTAATATTACAATTTACAGTAGATTATACAGAAAATACAAAAAACACCGTAAATGTATTTATTGATAACTATATTTAGAATAAAAAAGTCGACCGTAAACACTAGTTAATGAGAACTTTCTTACCCCCGTGACCTGTCACACAAGCCACTGTCAACCAGGCAAATCCTACAGTCCAAGCAAATGGAGAAACGCACTGAAAGGCGATGATTATATTTTCGTTTGCTGTAATATTTTTCTTGTAATTACGCACTCCAAAAATAGATAATGTCATTAAGAATATGCATCCGGTCCAACAAAGTAAAAGGGTAATCTAAGAATTTAAACGGGAAATTCTTAATAAACGGATTACGTAAAAAGTTTAATTTTACTTTTGGTGATATTGCTTTCTGTGAATTAAAAATAAATGTTCAGAAATTTAAAGAGAAAACGTCTTAAATGAAAATTGTAATATTTACTGACATCACGAGTAACACTCCCTTTAACAGCAGTATATCACGTTAGCAGCCGGCACTTAATTAAATATTATATATTTAATGAATGTAAATTAATCTGTTTTCTATGCCATGAATTATTATACAATGATTAATTCTATTCGTAAGATTATACTATACATAATAGAAAGTGTGTAAGTGTTGGAATTGATTACGTGGAAAAGACATCGAACCGTTTTATACGAAACTAAGGACAGATGCAAAATATACGGTTATGCTGCAAAATTTAATAAAAGTATACCATTTTTTTATTACTGAAAGAATTATGTTTATTAAATTAAAGCAATGAATAATTTATTTTCAATCAATATTTAACAAATACGTGTGTCGGCTGTCAACGGCTCACGTATTTGTAAAATCTAAGTGACTCATACAGCATGGAATTAATATAAAACAGAATAATCAACAGTGTTATAGAGGGTCGACTACCCTGTTATTAGAATATACTCTATTAATAATATATTTTTTCGGACATAATCGGTTATCCGAACAATTTGGTTTTTTTATCCGATTAACTCCAGTCTCTAATTGATTCGGATAATTAACGATCTACTGTAATAATAATTAATATAAAATTAGTGTACCTTTCCAAATGTCACCTGTTTCTTCTTTCTTAATATATCTCCAATTAAAGTACCGAAACAGTAAGTACCAAGATGGGAATAATATGGTTTAATATAATTATGTACAGTATATTTATGAGTTTCCCTAAAATAATATATAAAAATAATATATTTGATTAATAATAATTTATTATCAAATGATAAAAAAGTTAAAAGTTTATACTCAAAAGCCGCAGGTATTCCATGCATCACGTAATATCTGTTTGAAATTACATCAACTATATACATGATAATCCCTGTTAACATTGATGCGATTATGGCGAGTATTCCAAATCTGGGCCATCTGCAAAACGATATTCAATACATAGTGAAGGAATTCAAGATTTCGAGTATTCGTTAGATAATCTATATATATATATATAAATGGACATGTATGTCCCTATATTTCACTTTTCTGCCA